TGGGGCAATAAGAACACCATAAAGTTACCAAAACAAGATCTAGCAATCCAAGTATAAAGGTAGAAGCTTTTTACCTTCTGGAGCTTCTTTATGAAGTGATGATCCAAGATCCACTAGCTTGCTTAGCTCTCCCATCACCTAGATGCAACTTCTTCTTCTTCAACCGCACAAGAAGCACACTCTTAGCTCACACGCACACACACACACTATAGAGGTTAGGGTTTTCCAAAAATGATTCTAGAACTTGGAGGCCGAAAAGATGGGGAAAAGGGTCCATAATGATGCTTAAATACTCCACAAACCCTAAAGGTTAGGGTTTTCACCCGGACTCACGTACGCCCAGCGTACTAAGGCGCGCCCTGGTATGCTTAGCGTACTCACATGTACGCCCAACGTACTACTCATGTTCCCATAATCACCATTTTGCCATTAGGGCTCCCCATGGCCACTTCTTTCCAATCCAAGGACCAAAATGACATAATTAAAACCCAATGGACGAATTTGAAATTACTTGAAAACTGGGGTGTTAAAATATCAACTATAGATTTCAAGGGGTGTGGGCAGGTGATGGAAGCTGAGGGTAAGCTAACCCTAGCCCTCAATTCCTTTAAATAGGGAAGAAATCCGTGAAATTAGGGTTTTGCATCATAACCACTGTCACGACGTGACCCTCATGTGGTCACGTTGTGACGTTCAAAGCATACGCACATTTCATGGGGCATGGTTACATTGTGACACACATGTGCTCACATCGTGACCTAGATCAAACTCTACTAAAATTTGTTTAATAATTTAAGAAATTGTTTACGTAAACTGGGTGTTACATCTCATATTTTAGTAGCAAACAAAAAATTTATAAAAAATTCAAAGTGGAATACAATCAATTCAGAGCTTAATACAATCATCACAGTTTATTACATTCAATTCACATATTAATACAATCAATTCATAGTTAAATACAATCATTTCACAACTTAATACAATGAATTTATAGTCTAATACACAAAATTCACAACTTAATACAACAAATTCACATTTTAATACACAAAAAGTTACATTCTCAACCATATTCTCAACTTAAAACTTAAATTTCAAGATTTTAATTCACGGCTTAATAAAGCAGTTTAGGACTCTCATTCACACTATTCATAACATCAAAAACATATTTGATTTTGTTAAAGCATTTCATCAAACACCTTGTATGCAACACATAAATTCATAGTTTAATAGAGCATTTCAAGACACTTATTCATAGTTTAATAAAACAGTCCACAACTCTCATTCATATTATTCACATCTGAAAAACATACTTGATTTTGTTGAAAGGTTTCGTTAAACACCTTGTGTTCAACATACATATTCTCAGTTTAATAGAGCATTTCAGGACTCTCATTCATAATTTAATAAAATAATTCAAGACTCTAATTCATAACGGCTTAAAAACATACTTAATTTTCGACGGTGGTCGACTTCAAATCCAGATTTGGCGACATTAGAGCAACGGTCGACAGCGGTAGTCGATTTAAGTTCCCAGTGACATGAGCAGCTATTTTTACTGGTGATTTGTTGTAGTGATTTTTTGATTGATATATGATTTGTGGGGATGGCTTTAACATCTAGATCCGATGTAGATCTGGTGAGATCTTGTTAGATTTGATGCAGGTCTGGTGATTCACCGGACATTAGAGAAAGTGGTAGTAGAAGTCGTCGGAGAAGTTAGTAGTGGTGATGTTGTCGACAGAGGAAACGGATGTGTAACCACCACCAGCCACCGAGAGAATGAGAGTTTTCATCTTTTCTCTTCAGATTTGACCAAAAAAAACTTCTTTGGCTTCAGATCTTAGAGTTGCTCTGGTGAACTCAGCTACTAGAAAAATTCGTCAAATCATAAACCAAATATTTGAAAGAAGGTGGAGACGAAGAAGATCTGGAAGGAGACGGTTGTGGTGGATCCTCACCAGAACATCATATATATATATATATA